AGGTGGACCTGAGCGGCGGTCCACTCATCCATGTCGGTGTCGAAGGGGATCGGATCACCCCCTACCCCGATGCCTGTGAGCATCGAGAAGTCGTAAGGGGTCATCGTCATGTCCCCTGCTGTGGAGAAGTGAAATGAATCAGTGGTGTCCCACCACCTCTCTGCCAGAGGGGCGAGGAGAGGTCTGCATGTGGTAAGCCTGGATAGTCCTCGGCAGAAGGCGCCGAAGCCCGCCCGGTCCACTATGCGACGGACCGCGTCAGGGAGCTCGTCATACCACTCCCGAGCGCCAGTGTTCCCATACCCGCGGATGGTATGGGAATCCTCCTGTAAACAGAAAATAATAATTGCAAAACAACATTCAAAATGCAGTTTTGAGAAGCATACAGATGTGGCATGCGTGCAAGTTTAACAAATTCAGATAAATACCGGGTGCCGGTGTGCTTACAGTGGACTACAGCGTGTGATGCGTCAGCATGTTTGGGTGGTTCAGTACAGATGTAGCATGTGTGCAAGTTTGACAGGTTTGAACAGCTATCGGGTATCGGTGTGTTTGCAGTGAAATACAATGTGCGCCGTGTGTTTGAGTGATTCAGGGTTAGTGTAGTGTGTGTGCATGTGCCAGTCTCAAACAGATATCAGTTGTACGTATGTTTACAGTCAACTACGGTGTATAGCATATCAGATTCAAGCAGTTAAAGAGTACAACTAACTACGACAGTTTTGTATCCTACATTGCGGAAAGTAAAGCAGAAGAAAGAGAGTTACCTCAGAAACGCCGAAGGACAAGTGGGAGGTAGGCTTGCGCAGTAATAGCTCAGGTGGCACGTGCCTCTCGAAGCTCCGGAACTGGCGCAGTCCGTCTGGAGGCAGAACATGGATCGCCGGCCGGTAGGTCGCCGGGTCGAACGGGCGCTCGCTCAAAGGTAGGAGCTCGACCCCGGGATCCATCTCGTGGTCCAGGGGAGTCCCGCCTCGTGGAATGTCGTCTGCCATGTCAGGAATGGTGAGAAAATAGCCGGAGGAAGGAAAACCGGACCGGAATGCGAAGAGTCAACCGAAAGGTCAACCCCCGAGAAGGTCAAAAATGGCCGGGAAGGCCGGAATGTGAAAAGGCACGAAAATCAAGAGAAAAGTGAGGGGAACAAACCCCGAAAAGGCGGGAACGCCAAACAAGGCACCGAAACAAAGTTTTGTTCGGTTGAAAATGTCCGAAACGCGAAGGAAATCGCGAATCCGACGACGAAACGGGCGTAGAACGCGAAGAAACGGGCGAAGGTGGAGAGAAAAACGCTCTAGAGAGAGAGTGTGAGAGTTTTCGGCGGAAGAGAAAGTGAGAAAATAGGGTTTGAAACCCTATTTTAAAACACCCGAGGTGAAATGTCGAATCTGCCCCGACTCAGCAACTTTTTGCCGGTCGGCAATGTTTTGTGCCGGCCGGCAATATTTTGTGCCGATGAAGTTATTTTGCAGCCAGTGGACAGGCGGTGGACTCCCCTCCCGGCCGGTGGTGTTTCCACAACCTTGTTTAGGCCATATGAGAAGTTTTTGGTCTTCATAGCTCAAGAAAGTGCAAGAAAGTGTATCTCCGACGCTCAACCGACCTCCGTTTTGGCCTTGGACCGCGTCCTCCGTGCGTAGCACTCCAACTCATGCAATGATTGTATCCTTTTTGCCTCTTACGAGATCCAAAAATTTGCCCCGTGTGCATTGCACGCGTTCATCGCACTATCTCGGTGCATTACATCGCGCAATTACGCGCTTCATAGTTGCATTGTTATGCATACACTACATGCGTCGTAACACGCACCCCTTTGCATCGTCATGCACATCTCTCATGCATTGTCATTGCATTTTTATTACAAGCATTGTCATGCATTTCAAATACATGCGTCGCCTCGCGCATCGTTCGCGTCGTCGTGCATTCCCTTACCATGCATTGTCATGCATTCCGAAACATGCGCGTTGTTACGCATTTAAGTCCATTTACATTCCCAATGGCATGCGTGTCACACTTGGCATCTTTTTATATTCCGTGTGGCATACGTGTCACACTGGGCATCATTTTGCACCTTATGAGGCATACGCGTCTCATTTGTCTCATTTTGCATCTTACGAGGCACGCGTGTCTCATTTGTTTCATTTGTATCATTTGCCTCAGTCGCCTCGGCATGCGTGCCTCATTTGTCACCGGCATGCGTGCCTCATTTGCATTGTCTCTCATTTGATTACTTGCGTAGACCGCATGCTGATTACATTACCTGCGTAGACCGCATGTTTGTACTCATTTCATTACTTGCGTAGACCGCATGTTAATTGCATTACCTGCGTAGACCGCATGTTTGTAATCAATTTCATTACTTGCGTAGACCGCATGTTAATTACATTACCTGCATAGACCGCATGTTTGTAATCATTTCATTACTTGCTTAGACCGCATGCTAATTACATTACTTGCGTAGACCGCATGTTAATTACATTACCTGCGTAGACCGCATGTTTGTAATCATTTCATTACTTGTGTAGACCGCATGTTAATTACATTACCTGCGTAGACCGCATGTTTGTAATCAATTTCATTACTTACGTAGACCGCATGTTATGTTTGCGTAGACCGCATTATCGTTCAAATTCATTACCTGCATAGACCGCATGTTTTGCTTGCGTAGACCGCATTATTGTTCAATTTCATTACTTGCGTAGACCGCAAGTTAATTACATTACCTGCGTAGACCGCATGTTTGTAATCATTACATTACTTGCGTAGACCGCATGTTTTGTTTGCGTAGACCGCATTATTGTTCAATTACATTACCTGCGTAGACCGCATGTTTTGTTTGCGTAGACCGCATTATTGTTCAATTTCATTACTTGCGTAGACCGCATGTATTGCTTGCGTAGACCACATTTCAATTTCTTTACCTGCGTAGACCACATGTTTTGTTTGCGTAGACCGCATTATCGTTCAAATTCATTACCTGCGTAGACCGCATGTTTTGCTTGCGTAGACCGCATAATTGTTCAAAATTCATTACCTGCGTAGACCGCATGTTTTGCTTGCGTAGACCGCATAATTGTTCGGAATTCATTACCTGCGTAGACCGCATGTTTTGATCGCGTAGACCGCATATTTGTTAATATCATTACCTGCGTAGACCGCATGCTTATGATCAATTTCGTTGCCTGCGTAGACCGCATGCCCTACTTACATGTCTGTATTTTCACAGCATTGTTATGCTTCCCACTTGCTTTGCGCTGTCACGCATTTCGAGTACACTACTATGCACGTCGTTAACAATATTGTACCTGTTAAGTTTTTTTTCTTTGCAGGCACGATATTGTATGTACAGTTCATTTGAGGATGGTGCAACCAGACGAGCCGCCCAGGTATTGTATCCTCTGAGTGAGACGTATCGGGAATTGCATAATTCTCTTACATCCTTTCTGCATTGTAGTGTAGTTTGGTATTTCCTAGCTTAAAACTGTCGCATGTTTGCTTCATTACAGCTTTCTTTGCATGATCATAAGTTATGCTCGGCTTCGTGCATTGTCTTGCATTTTGCCCCTGCCTTTGGGCGCATACCTTGTTTGTCTTGCATGTTTGTCTGAGTCTTCGGCCTTGTCAAAAATGGGTCGTCTCTGGGCTTCGACATTCACTCCC